GGACACAGACAACAGGGGGGTGAGGGCATGAGTGGGGGGAGGTGGGAGGCAATGGGGGGGATAAGGACACATATGTAATACCTTAATCAATAAAGAAAAAACAATAGAAAATATTTTGGAAGTATAGTCAATGATTTTACAGGTCAAAAGTTTAAGACAAAATGTTTGCTTCTCCCATTTGAGTGCTATTCTTTTTTAGTCTTGATCAGATTAGTACTTTCTTGTTGCTTATTATATCACAAAGCTTAGGTATGCCAGGAAGCTACCTGCAAAAGACTATTAAATTTGTCCATGTGAAAATCTCCCAAGAGACCTAAATTCTCCTTAGAGAGATAGAATTTGTTTAATTTTTCCCAAGCATGCAGTTATTATATTGTTATCTAAATTATGATCAGGTCTCTTCAAATGGATAGCCTTGTATGGCTAAATTTGTTTGTTTATTTTTTTATAAATTAAATACTTCACATCAATATACTACTTTGAGTGAGAAGGAAGTATGGCTTTCTGATCATTAAAACCTTCTGGCAATACAGAAGTTTGGAATATGGTAAAGATGCTATTTCAAATCACTGGGGGAAAGATGAACCTTTTAATAAATGGTATTGGGACAACTGGATAGCCACATAGAAAAAAAAAGATAAAATTAGTTCCATCCTCAACACACATAAGAATAAAGTTCATATAGATCAAGAATCTAAAAGTAAAGACCAAAAAACCATACAAGTCCTAGAAGAAAATTGATAGTTTTCTATATCTTGAGTGTATAGCAAGGCTTTCTAACTTTGACTCTAAACCTAAATGCAATACAAGAAAAGACTGATTCATTTGATTACATAAAAAGAAAAGTGAAAAAGGGTTGCACTACAAAAAATACCATAAACAAAAGTGAAAGGCAAATGAAATACAAAAAATATTTGCAACTTGTATCTTGGACAAAGAGCTAATATTTCTATCTAAATAATTTAACATTTTAGGATGAAACACAAAAACATAATAGAGCCCTAACTGGTTTGGCTCAGTGGATAGAGCATCATCCTGCGGACTGAAGGGTCCCAGCTTCGATTCCAGTCAAGGGCATGTACCTTGGTTGCGGGCACATCCCCAGTAGGGGGTGTGCAGAAGGCAGCTGACCGATGTTTCTAACTCTCTATTCCTCTCCCTTCCTCTCTGTAAAAATCAATAAAATATATTTTAAAATATATATAATAGAAAAAT